CACATGCGATCACATAACCCTAGACATTCAAGATGGTTGTTAAGGTCGAGCAATTTTAGTGTTCCGTAAACTAAGTTGATCACAGTGGGATGAAAGCCAACCTTTAATCGCTTGATTTCTTTTGCATGTTTATCATCTGTTGACAAAACCTTAGTCTGTGTAGATGAGGTACAGCAGCATATACTCTGGTATATAAGCTATTTGTTCCTGAAAGATGGCCTTAGAGTGTGTCAAGTACAACTCAACTGATTTTGTTGCTTTCGATTTTGTCTTGGATTGTTTTGCTGGGGGTGCTGATTCATGATCCTCACCAGTCGACTTCCGTTTAGCCTTTGAAGGTGGTGCGATGGTCGGAGGTGATTCGGCCACGGGCTCACCATCGGAATCGAGAAACTGCGCTGACTGTTAGAATCAGATAATTTCAAAGCCACAGTCACTATATGCGTCATGTTTGAAAAGCGTTGCGGAGATTCCAGAGGTAGAGATATACTTTGATTTCATTCTTCTTTTCCGTCTTTGGACCTCGTTTTCGAGGTGCCTTTTGTTTAACAGATTCAGATTTTGAAGATTCCCCACTATCACTGGCAGTAAGCTCAATTTTAGGCTTTGAACTTTCAGAGACCTTGATTTATTCATACGAGATATTCATACAAAGTCAGAACTTGACGGGTAGATAACCTTTAGTGAAAAATCAACATACCTGAGGTTCACATGATGTATCTTTTATTTTCTCTTTTTTGGTAGATTTGCGGCCTTTAGCGCTAGATTTAGGTTTCGTTTGCGATGAAGATTCAGAAGGTACTTGAGCTTCAGGAGAAGATTGTTTGACACTGATAGAATCTTCTTTTGCCTTTGATTCATCATCCGAACCACTCGTCTAAGTTTTATCAAGGATACGAAATATATGAATCATTCAGATATGAGATAAGTTTCTAAAGATTGATGAATCTGACCCAAGAGATGATTTACCTCTTCAAGAGTAGAAGCAGCAGTAGACTTGATTAACATTTTGATTTCTTTTTGTTTAAAATATACTTCATCTACTGAAAGTCTCTTGACCAATTCATTGATTATCGTCCGTGGTGTTAATTCTCTATACATAGGTAAACAGGTTTTGAGGTCAGATTTCGGATTTAATGACTGTGAATTTATTATCAATGGTTTGAAGTTACTTACTCTTGATCCCCTGAGGAGATTGCTTCCCGACATATTAATTTGACTTCCTTTATAATTTCGTTTGAAGTGGGCTCCATTGTTGTTGAATTCTTCAATCAATCGAGTGGAATTGTTGTATCTTTGTGAGCCAAACTTCAACTCGATTTGAAATTTATCGATTGATACCGAGACGCGGGGCAATAAATTACTCTGACCCCGCGTAAGAGATGAATACCCGATCCGCGAGTCTGTTGTTAGATTTTCGATCGGGGTTATCCTAAGATTTATCAATCCATCCAAACTTTCCAAGTCTTGAATGAAATCCATTTTATCAAGACTTTTCTCATTTTCAAAACAAAATGAGCAATTCAAATTCAACCAATACTGGAATAACAGAATTTTTAGATTCAATTTATAATCCAATCATTTCACCTGAATTTCATCAAAATTTAAATCATGACCTTTCTAGAAGACCTTTCGTTACATTAACTTATGCTCAATCTTTAGATGGTAAGATTGCTGGTGTAGATGGTAGACAATTAAGATTAAGTGGTAATCAATCTATGAAGATGACTCATATGTTGAGTTTGGTCATTGGTTTTATTGATTTGATCTTTAGAATGACTTTGACTG